TGAAACATTATCCGAATTCAGAGGTGACGCTTAAGAGTAGTATGCAAAGATAATAACGAGGAGAGATTAAGGAAGATGGACGTTTGATAGGACAAAAAGAGCAGATCACACCAGACCGCCCTCCAACCACCCACAACCTCAGGGATAGAAGAAAATTAGAAATCTCACCTGAGCACCGAGTTCTGCGGAAGACATTCCTTCCCGTTTGCCGTAACATTCAGCCTGAAATTCGTGTGTGTTGTTGGCACATCGCAAGACGAAAGTGGGGCATAGAACCTGTTCAAGAGGGCTTTCTCTCCACGGGGTATAGCGTTGGCAAAATATGAGTATGGTGTGTGGTTGGCTGTTGATCGACTCGACTAGTGCGGTTTGCTCTTTCACTCTTATCAAATATCTGTTGTTCGTAACTGTTTTTCTTTCTATGTTATTATTAAGTAACACCTTCTAAATTCTTCGGCTTTTAATATGACCTGTGTATTGTAGTTGTTATCAAACTATTACGAAAACTGATTTTGTAAAAACCCTAAACTTACGAAAGCTATAGACATAGGATAAGATATTCAAGTTGACCATGAGCTCTGGTCATCGTAAAGGTCTCTTTTTTTAAGATCAAATTCTCTGCCACACTGTAATAAAACAGTTGACCTACAGTATTCTCGGCTGAAAGGGAGGGGTTGTGGGGGGAGGCAAAAATCCGCGGATAAATTAGGGGACAATAAAATATACAGTTGAATTTTCAATACTTAGAGATCCTCCAAATACAGTCGAAAGTATCTAAGATAGCCACTATGTATCGAGACTGTCTTAAACAGGTGAACGTCTTGCACAGTGCAATTAAGATGTAAAGGCATGAGCGGAAATTTGTGTAATTTATTGATTCCCCAGCAAGTTGTGTGATATGTGAAAGTGTAGCACACGTCTGTTTTTATTATGAATATGATATAAACATGTGTATGTATTGTTTTGTCAACACAGACGTATGTGGTGTAGCGGTAAGGCGATGCACTGTAGCACGCACGGTACAAGTTCGATTCCCGAGTCGGGAGATATTTTTAATAATCTCAAGTATCTCGGTCTTTCTGCAGGGACGTTGTATCCCATTCCTTCCAGTCCGGGCTGGCCCTGGCAGGCAGGGTCGAAGCCTGCTTCCTGAATTATCAGAATTATGTCCCTGAGACGCTAGAACACCTACATTATTGTTATGTTCACATGGTAAAGGCGTATTTTCCCCCACGATAAAAAAAATGTTCACTTTTAAACACAAGTCGACTATCCTGAAATATGCTGTTTTGGGAAAATCCAGGATAAAGTTTTTGCCCCTTGTTCAGTTTCTCTTTTTTAAAAAAACAAGGAAAGTTTTCTCTATAACCAAACAAATATACACACTGAAACCAAACTACTCCAATAGGTAAGGCAATACTTTTGGTGTAAGTCAAGATTTCAGGAAACCCCCGAAATCTGGGTTAGCCCGCTTGTCCTTAAAAGCGACCAAATGATTGCCGGTGAACTTACTACAGAACTGACATTCAGCAGGCATTGGAGAAAAATATTCTTTGAAGATGGTAATAAAACGATATCAGAAGGATGCTTCACTATCACGTTTGTAGAAAACCTGAACTCGATTTTTGTGTTGGGAGAATTTCTTGTCGAGTATCTCAGTCTTTTTGTAGGGATGTTGTATCCCTCTCAGATCAGGTTTGCCCTGACAGGCAGGGTTGAATCCAGGATCTCAAAATTATGATCTAATAGCGTTAATTGATGAGGGCGTCAGACAACAAGATCTACGTATTTTGTTAGGTGATATCGAAATTGGGAGAGCCTCCTCAAGAAGAAAAAAAAGCAGACGGGAAGTTTCAAAGCGTGTGTGTGTGTGTGTGTGCGTGTGTGTGTGTGTGTGTGTGTGTGTCTGTGTATTTGTGTATGTGTATGTGTATGTGTTGAAACACCAACCCAATGTGCCAGGATCTGGACAATAAAGATTTATCTTATCTAATCTTATCATATACAGTTCCATACTTTGTTGGGCGTTGTACAATGAAAATAATTAACAGTAAAAGACTCTAACGGAGATATTGCTCATTGTAGCAGTGAATCTGAACGTTAGCAAAAGTCCCATTTTCAAGTGAAACGATGGCCTTGATCAAAGAAAAAGAATTTCCGGAAATTTGCTCTAAAATGACATTAAGAAAACGACGAAGAAATATAACAAATTTTACTATTTTAATTCAACAAATCTCTCGAGGACTCATACATACTCTGACATTCTCAACCCTCATACACACACATTATAACATCCAGTAATAGTCCAATGTTACTATGTACTGTGTTAAGCTAAGGCGAAACAATAACGTCGACCATACATTACTAGCAGTGATTATTTCCATATGGGGCTTTTTATTGGAAAAAAGTAATGCCGCAAATAGTGTTGGTAGGGGCGTTAAACCCATACCATTTCACAATTTTTCACCAAGTAATTCCGAAAGAAGTCTTTCATTTTTCTAGCTGTGTCCTTTTGAAGTCTGCTGGTGTCCCAAAGCTATTGGCAGTTTATCAGCTTAATATTGTAGGGATGTTACGTCCATTTAAAACACTCTAAGGCCAGGGCACTTGTTTCTTCACATCAAATTTTAGGTAGTTAATCTGGTGTCAACATCTTTTTTGTGTTTTGTTTCGTTGTGCTTTAAAAAATCTGGAATTGACAACTTAGAGAGGTGTGTCTGGTCTGGACGCCACGTAAGCTTTAATCTTCTCGTCAGCGCCGACTTTGTCGATGAGAGACTTGAGGAACGGGAAGCTGTCCACAGATCCCAGCCAAGGCGCCAACAAG